ACATGAAAAGACATGGAGGAACTTTAAATACACGTTACTAAGTGAAGGAAGCCAATCTGAAAGGCTACATACTGTGTGGTTCCAGTTATATGACATTCCGGAAGAGGAAAATCTATGGAGACAATAAAAAGGTCAGTGGTTGGCAGGGCTGAGACTGGGGAGGGGTGAGAAGGCAGAGCACAGGGGATTTTTAGGGCAGTGAAAGCCTTCTAGGATATAATGATGCGTATCTGTCTATGCATTCGTCCAAACTAGGTAGAATGGACAATTCCAAGAGTGAATCTTCAGTGTTAATGATGGACTCTGGGTAATAATGATGTATTCATGTGGGTTCATCAGTTGTAACAAATGTACTCCTCTGGGGAGGGAGGCTGACCATGCATATATGGGGGCAGTGAGTATATTGGAAATCGCCATACTTTCAATTTTGCTGTGAACTTAAAACTGCTCTAAAAAAATTAAGTCCTTTAAAAAAAAATGGTCAAAGGAACTCATGCAGACAATTCCCAAAGAAATATACTAATTCCCAAGAAGCACATGACAAAATATTCTCTATCATTAGTTATCAGGAAAAAACAAATGAGGTACACTTTTAACCCAGTGGGGTGACTGAAGTTTAAAAGATTCAGTGGAGAAACTGGAAATCTTACACTTGCTTATAGGGATGTAAGGTGGTAAAATTGCTTTGGAAAGTGGATTGTAAGTTCTTGTAACCTTATAAAGACACACCCTGTAATGTAGCAATTCCACTCCTTGGTTATTGATTCAAGTTAAATGAAAACATGTCCATTGAAAGGCTTGTACAGTAATATTCATAACAATTTTATTCATCATAGCAGAAAACTTAAAATCACCCAGTAGCCATCAGTAGATGAGTGAGAAAAACTGTGGTATATTCACTTGACGATATCATACTCTACAGGGAAAATGAATTGCTGATATATGCAGTGACATCTCTGATCCTCGCACACTTCATGTTGAACAAAAGAAGACTGAGAAAAGAGGGCATAACATATAATCCCATTAAAACGAGTTCTAAGGGCACCTAGAGTTCTAGGTGGCTCAGTTAGTTAGGTGTCTGAATCTTGATTTCGGCTCAGGTCATGGTCTCAGGGTTGTGACTTTGAGCCCCTCACCAAGCATGGAGCCTGGCTAAGATTTTCTCTCTCCCTCTGCTGCCCCCCTCCCCCCAAAAAGAAGTTTGAAAAAGACTAAATGAATCTATGGTGATAGGTAAGGTGATATAAATGAGATCCCCAGCTCCATTTGGGTGAGTGTGGAGAAGCGGATTACTAAAGAGTGAAAAAAAAAAGTTTTATATCATGTTTGGAGTTGGTTACATGAAATTATGGAGTTGTTAAATGTCCTCAAACCGTGCTCTTAGAATCTCTGTATTTTATTGTGTATAACTTTACATAAACTACATAAACTTGACAAAAATTAAAGGCTTATGAGGGAAGGGGCGCCTGGGTGGCTCAGTGGGTTGGAGCCTCTGCCTTAGGCTTGGGTCGTGATTCCAGGGTCCTGGGATTGAGCCCCGCATCGGGCTCTCTGCTCAGCGGGGAGCCTGCTTCCTCCTCTCTCTCTGCCTGCCTCTCTGACTACTTGTAATCTCTGTCAAATAAATAAATAAAATCTTTAAAAAAAAGGATTATGAGGGAAAAGGGAAGATGAATAATTTTGAAATCGGTAGAAATTATAACAAAAAATTCAATAATTCATTAAGAGATCAATTTCAAATAGAAATAATGAGCAAGAGATTCTCGGGTTGTTGATAATGTAAATGATGAAGGATGAGTCGTATGATCAAACTGGAGAAAGTATTGAAATTTTTAAAAAGAGTTATTTATTTTAGAGAGAGAGAGCATTTGAGCAGGGAGACAGAGGGAGAAAGAGAATCTCAGACTCCCCACTCAGCATGGAGCCCCACGTGGAGCTTGATCCCATGACCCTAAAATCATGACCTGATCTGAAACCAAGAGTCAGACCCCCATCTGGCCACCCAGCCATGCCAGAAGTACTGAAATTCTTTTTTTAAAAAGATTTTATTTATTTGAGAGAGAGCTCATGTGTGAGAGAGTACAAGTATGCTGGGGTGGGGGTTTGTGGAGGGGCAGAGGGAGAGGGAGAAGCAGATTCTCTGCTGAACAGGGAGCCCAACACAGGGCTTGATCCTAGGACCCTGAGATCATGACCTGAGCTGAAGGTAGATGCTTAACTGACTGAGCCACCCAGGCACCCCAAAGTATTGACATTTTGACATAAAATACTGACATATAAAAGTTACAATATGTTTCCAAAGATGAGAACATCTATGACAACCTTGTAATAATGTGTCACCAATTTTAAATATTTAGACTCAGTCACTACATCAGAAGCTATGTGCTCTGGAATCTTACAGGTCATATGTGAAAAATAAAAGTTGGTAGTAATTTTGACAATCGTAAATATTTACATGACATTATCAGATGGAATCATTAATTTGAAACTTTTATAAACTTTATTTTTAAGCTTTTATTTATTTAAAGATTTCATGTATTTATTTGAGAGAGTGCACCTGCACACAGAGTAAGAGGGCGAAAGAGATTCCCCACTGAGCAGAGAGCCCCACGCAGGACTCAGTCCCAGGATCCTGAGACTGTGACCTGAGCCAAAGGCAGATGATTAACTGACTAAATCATCCAGACACCCACCCCTATCCTTTTTCTAAAAAGATTTATTTATTATTTGAGGGAGAGACAGAGATCGAGGGAGCGGAGCGGAAGGAAAGGAAGAAGAGAGAGAAAATTTTTCTCCAGCAGACTCCCTGCTGAGCACAGAGGCTGACTTGGGGTTTGATCTCACAACCCTGAGATCACCACTTTAGCCAAAATCAGGAGCCTGACTTAACCAATTTAGCCACCCAGGCACCACTAAGATTTTACTTGATCTCAACACCCAACGTGGGGCCCAAACGCACAAGCTCAGATCAAGAGTTGTGTCTTCTACTGAGCCACCCGCGCCCCAAAACTTTCATAAACTTTTTTTTTTTAAGATTTTATTTATTTATTTGACAGAGATCACAAGCAGGCAGAGAGGCAGGCAGAGAGAGGAGAAGCAGGCTCCCTGCTGAGCCCGATGTGGGGCTCTATCCCAGGGATCATGACCTGAGCAGAAGGCAGAGGCTTTAACCCACTGAGCCACCCAGGCGCCCCAAAACTTTCATAAACTCTTAATAAAATTTCACCACCCTGGAGCGAAAAAAGACTGCATTCCCTTTGTGTTCGCTGTTGAGAATGAGCTTCGACCTTACGGTTGAGGCAATTAAAGTGCGTGAGGCAAAAATACACAATTTTAGTAGAGCTGTGTTTGAGGTTTGTTTCTTGGGGGGGGAAGGGATTTTTTTTTTTAATATTAGTGGGTTTTGTCTGTTGAAAAAACGTATAGTTTGTGCGAGTCACTCCAAATACTCATTTTATTGCTAATTTTGTATTCATAACCGGGGGGCACTGGGGTCCTTCGACGGCAGGGGCTGCCCGCCCGGTCGTGCAGGCTCCCGGCTCCGGAGCGCGCCCCGGGTCAGAGTGTCACAGGACACAGCGTCGCGTGTCAGAACCTGCGGGAAGACGCCTTCGGTGGAAGTCGCGAAGCCGGAGAGCGGGCACACGCTCCGCGGGCCGCCCCCGGGCCGCGATAACGCGGCGGCCGGACTGAAAGGCTCACGAGCCTCAGAGGCGGAGGAGACCGTGAATCCAGCACTTTCTGCCTCCGCGGGCAGGTGCCTTCTTCAATCCGCGAAAACGCGTCTCGCGACCCCCACGCAGCCGCTCACAGACCTGTCCCCAGCCCAGCCTCCCGCCCTGGAAGTGAAGCCGCGGGAGCGTCTGGGGTCCCGGACCCGCTCGGGACTTGGGGGAACACGGGGGTGATCCCGCGTCCGCCCGGGGGCGGGCGGCGCCTTCCGCGAGAAGCCAGGGCCGCACCACAGGCGCGACGTCGGCGCCGAAGGAATCCCGGCCGTCCCTTCGCGGGGACACGCGCTCACGCGTGTAACGACTACGACCGTGTAACGGTCCTGGGCGGGGGAGGGGCGGCACGAAGGCTCGAGAATTCGGGCGCGTAACGGTCGCGCCTCGCGCCGTCGCGCGGCCGGGGGACGGTTCCGGGGCCACAACGGCAGCGCGGGGGGAGGAGCCGCCGAGCCACGCCCCCCGCCGGGAGGGTCTTCCCGGCCGCGCACGCCCCCCGCGCCCATTCAGTCTCCGGGGACGGCCCCTGCGCGGAGGCCGCCGCTTCTGCCCTCCGCGTCGTGGTCTGGCAGCGGCCACTGCGGCCCGTTCCCGCCTCCGCCGTGTGAGGGGAGGCAGGTGGACGCCCCCTCGCCCTCCCGAGGCCGGGGTAGGCGGTCAAAACCGGGCGGGCTTCCCGGTGGTGGTTGCTGCTGTCTCTACGGAGTTTCGGGAATCCTTTTTCTGTAGTCCCAGGAGTCTCTAAGCCCCCAAAGGAGGTGCTGATTACGTATTATTATATTTTAGGTATTTAAAGGCGATCAAAAAGAAACAAGTCCTCGATCTGTAGCACACCGTGTTGAAGCACCTGAGGCGCTGAAAAGAGAAGACAAGGGACGGAACCAAAAAGGCAAGAGCGTACGAGCCCGAACCCCTCGGGGCTGGGGGCCAGCGTGCGGCCCTTACCGGAAGCAAGTCCTGGGCGGGGCTTTGCTCCGCAGCCGATGCCACGCCCTCCGCAACACGGACGCTCTCCATTGGCCGAGCCCGGCAGCCCGGAAGTGGCGTCAACGTCACGGCCTCGCGGCGGAGCCCGAGTGCGCCTCTTCCTACACCCCGCCCCTTGGCACACCAAAACAAGCCCGCGGCAGTCGGGGCGGGGCGTGCGTTGGGCCGACGCCGCGCGCACGCGGGGGGAGGGCGGGGCCTTCGCGCGCGGAGCCCCGGGGTTGGGCGACCGGGTGGGGACGGAGGCGCCCGGGTGCTGGCCCGTGCATCCGCCCTCGGCCGACTGTTGAGCCGAGGCATAGAGATGGGCTAGCGGCCGACGTGAGGCCGAGCGGGGTGAGGACAGCGGCGGGCTCGAGGCCGCGACCCGGCGGGCGTGAGCGCTCGTGCGCGACTAGTGTGCGCGGGGCCGCGTGGAGTAACCGCCGCGGCGCGTGAGGCCCGGGCGGGCGGGTGGGGGAGGGGCGGCGCGAGCGGGGCCGCTTCCCTCAGGAGGGCTGCGGCGCCAGAGGCGGGAGCAGCCCGCGGGCGCCGCCTGCAACCCGGGGTCCCGGGCGTCGGGACCCCTGCCCCTTCCTCGCCGTCGTCTCCTCTGCGGTCTCGTGCGAGCTGCCTTTGGTCTGGCCACTGCGTAGTTTCTTCGGGGAGCCGTCGGGGGCTCGCGGGAGAGCGCCTCCCCCTTCCGGAGAGAGTGCGGGTCCCGGGGGGCCCCCCTCCCGGCCTGGAGGCGCCGGCGGCCGGCGGAGGGGCTCTGTCCGCCTCCCCGCCTGCCGGGGCTGCGAGGGGCCGAAGACGGGCTCCGGCTGGCGAGGACCGGGCGCGGTGCTGGCAGGGGGAAGAAGCCCCGGTGAGGAAGAGTACTGGCGGCCCGAGGGCTCGGCTACCTGCTCTCCGGACCGGGGGGGGGGGGGGGGGGGGGGGGGGGGGGCGGCCCCCGCCCCCCGGGGGGGGGGGGGGGGGGGGGTGTCGGACGCGGTGCCCCGCCGGTCCCCTGCGGAGTCGGAAGCGCACGCACCGTGTTCCGAGCGCTGCCCCCGGCCGGCCGGCGGACCTCCCCGAGCCGTTTGACCGGCTGGTACCGTCTGCCTCCGCTTCCCAGGACTGATGAGGACGTTTTCTGTCTTATTCCAGAAATGCTCTCGTGGGGCCGGAGTCTGGGTATGTGTGAGCGCAAGTCCTCACCCGCTCCCAAGTAAGCCTCGGAATCTCGGCTGAGCATCACTTCTCTGTAGGCCGCTAGCCCAGGTATTTGTTTTTTAAAGAAACGTTTAGGACACTTTCCCGCCCCTTAGTACGTGTGAAGCACTGGAGCAGAAACCTGCCCGACAGCCCTTGCCCTGATGGACTCGGGACTAGTGAGGACGGAGCCGGTGGGGGTGGGGGTGGGAGACCAAAGTGAACCGCCCCAGTGAGCGCCGGGAGCGCCGGAATGGAAACCCGTGCCAGGCCCGAGAGGACAGCGGAGAAGTCCTCACAGGCAGACGGGAGAGGACGGGTCCCTCCCGACAAGCCCAGGGCTGTGGCGACGCTCATGGTCGCCCGGCAGGCAGGAAGCGCTCAGATCTTTTTATCAGAATCACTGGGGACGTTCCTTAAAAAAATGGAATCTGAATTTTACTTATCTCCTCTCTTAGTTCCTTTGGTGACTCCGGTGTGCATTTCGGGTGAAGAACCAGGCGGAGGGATGAAAGGCGGATGTTGAAGGCAGTTGAAGGAGCTTGTACAAAGGCAGGGGATGCCACATACCACGAAGCGTTTTCGGAGGAGCAAGGGAGGGAGAGTGGCAGGAAATGCCAAAGCCAGGTTAGGGAGGCCTTCTGTTGGGGAGGTCAGAAATTAGAACTTTATCCCCGGACTGTAAGAATGCAAAACTCAGTTTTTGGTTTGCCCTTCACCCGCATTTTGGAGGAAATATTGGTGGTGGATGAAACCAGAGGCAGAGATATTTAGGCTTCTGTAATCCACACAGATGGTGAAAATAATATTCATCCTACTCAGGCGGTGGCAGGGTCACTGAGAATAAAGTGCAGAGACGATAAGGGAGTTGGACTTTACGGAATTCATGAAGATGGGGGTTAAGGGAGGGAGACTGTAGGATAGTTACCAGGTAACTGATTTGAGCACTGAAGGGATCCTAATGTCAGCACACAGTGTGAATAACAGATTTAAGGGGAGGGTCTCACTCTGTTTTGACTTTGTCGTGGTTGTCAGGTGAGGTTGGCTTCCCGCGGTTGGATATTGACTAGAAACTGTAGGTTAGGGTAGGTTACTGATTGAGCTGTCACTGATTGAGTGGCTCCGTTAGAGTGAATCATCACACTGAGAGTGGTACCTGCATCCTTGGTCCTTGGGTGGCTTCATTACAGATGGTAATGGAACCGTGGTTTGAATTAGGTCACTCAGGAAGAGGATGTCGAGCGAGGAGTGCTGAGGCAAGCCTTCGGAAACTCGGGAGAAAAAAGGAGGTGATTGTGAAGGAGATGAGGTAGAAGAAGTGAGAGGAGGTTGGTATGTCGTCCTAGCTGAAGAACAGATGGTGGGCATTCCATATGCTCCAGGGGAGGCGAGTCAAGAACGTCTGGGATTTGCCAAGACAGATTATTAGGGACTCTGGGAAGACACGCAGTGAAATGTGAGGGTAGAAGCCAGATTGCCAAGGAGTCGAGGAAGTGAATCTAGATTACTTTTTCAAGAAGTTTAGCTGAGAAGGGTAGAGGGAAGTGATTGCTCTTTGAAGTTTCTGGCCAGCTAATACTGAGAAAGGTATCCTCAGGGCAAGTCTGGAAAGTCGGTGAAGCATCCTGTATTTCTGACAAATCCGCTCTCTTTCTGGTGGTGCCCAGAGTGCGGCTCTTATTTCTGTTCTGCAGTTAGAGGGGTCCCTGGACACCACCGTCTCTGACTCCGTAATGGTTCCAAGCAGTTAAAATCCAGCAAAATCAACAAAACTGACTTTCAGGAGACCTGAGTTGTGCAAAAACTTAACAGGATTTAGGGTCACCTATCTGCCATTTTCCCGTAAAAGAAACATGATATACTTCATTTAGATTTTTTTTTGGCGTAAGTATCAGGCCAGTGATGATTTCAGATTTGGCGACATAACCACCTATTTATGGCCTTTTGAGAGGAATCCTAGAAACTGTTTCTGTTGTTGACATGCTCTGTCGCACTGTTTTCTGTATTCTAGGGCCCATGGCATTCATCTCTTACATGACAGGCAAGAAAATTGAGTTCTGCTTTCTGGGATATGGAAGTAGTATAGCTTTCTGAGTGAGTGAAGTAAGACTCCTTAATTTTCTTAGCAGAAAGGGTTTTTTTTGTTGTCGTTAAGTGTTATTTTAAAGTTATACTAGTTTATTTGTACTTCACATCCTTAATTTTTCCAAAGTTTTGATTGACTGCATAAATCCTGCTTGATACAACTGATGATGTTTGAGAAATTTCCAGGGTGTTTCACTTTCTAGTCTCAGATCTTAGATCTTTTAAGTTCACGCCCCACTTTGAATGAGATCACCGGAAGAAAACAGCTTCTGCAGACTTTGAATTTCATAGTATTTATGTTACTGGCGTTTTAGGTATAAGGAACTCTTCCTTGAATAAAATAATTTTATATTCTGCAAAACCACAGTATCCATTATGTTACCTGGTATTCCCTAGTTTGCTGCACACGTGGGCAGGATGTAGGATGTAATTGAATTAGAATTAGGTCAGGAAAGAGTCGGACTCTCCAGCTGAATTAGCAAAGACTTAATTTCTATTTTTCAAGTGAGGACTGTGTAACTCACATTTTTATTTATTTATTTTGCTCTTTTTTTGGAAGCTCCTAATTTAGGACTTAGTGAAATTTTCTTCTAAATGAGTTTTGATTTTTCCTTTTTAGTGTCCTTTTCTGTATGTTTTCTAAATGTCCCTTTTTATATGTCCTTTTCAGCTTTAATGTTGAAAGTCACCCTGAGTTCTTTACAGAAGCACAAAGAAAGCATAGTTAGTACTTCAATAAATTAAAAAAATTCACAAGACAAATGCATGTATTTGATTTTACTTATGTATTTGTAAATCATTTTTCAATCAATGATATGATAAGAAAATAAGGAAAGAAATTTTTAAAAATCAGCCTATTTTAGGAATTGGCATTATGCCAAAAAACCCTCAGCAGTGAAATACACTTTCTATCAAGATGTCATTGATTTCCCGTTAGCAGAGATTTTTTTCACTCTTGAGTTTTAGGATGATAATGCATTCAAAAACATCACACTGCTGCGTTTCCATATCTAGATATTCAGTGACTTGGCCGTGTTTCTTAACCTTTTATTGTTCCTTTTCCCTCCCTGAAAAGAAATGTTTTAGACATTTCTTTCCTGTGAATATCCCACGAATTTTAAACCACCAATACATTATATATCTCTTTATGGACTTTATGCATGTCTGTGCTTTACACATTAAAAAAGGTAGGACTCTTTTATGTCCCGCTAACCAGTTTTCATTTTCTTGAGGAAGATGTCACGTCCAGTTATGAAAAGGACTTAGTTGTTAGTGTATAGTTTACAGTTGGGTTTGCAACTTGATTCACCTTATATAGGATGATATTTTATATTTGTTGGATAGTTAATTTAAGGTCAAATTTCCTTTCTTTAATAATTTTTATGATTATGTTAGTCACCATACAGTACATCATTAGTTTCTGATGTAGTGTTCCATGATTCATTGTTTGCAAATAATACCCAGTGCTCTGTGCGATTCGTGCCCTCCTTAATACCCATCACTTGGCTTACTACCCATCATCTCCACCCCTCTACAACCCTCAGCTTGATTCTCAGAGTCCATAGTCTCTCATGGTTTGTCCGCTTCTCTGATTTACCCCCTTCCTTTTCCCCTTCCTTTTCCTGATGTCCTTCATGCTATTCCTTATGTTCCACAAACAAGTGAAATTATATGATAATTTTCTTTCATTTCACTTAGCATAATCTCCTCGAGTTCTATCCACGTTGATGCATAGATCCTTGTTGGTGGCTGAGTAATATTCCATTGTATATATGGGCCACATCTTCTTTATCCATGCATCCGTTGAAGGGCATCTTGGCTCTTTCCACAGTTTCGCTATTGTGGCCATTGCTGCTATGAACATTGGGGTGCAGATGGCCCTTCTTTTCAGTACGTCTGTATCTTTGGGGTAAATACCCAGCAGTACAATTGCTGGGTCATAGGGTAGCTCTATTTTTAACTTTTTGAGGAAACTTTACACTGTTTTCCAAAGTGGCTGTACCAGCTTGTATTCCCTTAAGGTCAAATTTCTGAAGATCAGGCTTGGATATTTTTCTGGCCCAGTTCCCAATAAATCATTTCCATATGAAAGAGCATTTGCTTCATTCTTGGGTGTGGTTTTCTTCCTTCTTGCAGACTGGCTGATAGCTGTGGAGACAATTGTCACTTTGGGTTTGTCTGATGTTTTTCTCATGCGTAGAAGGGAGGGGGTGGTTTGGAGGAGCACCCTACAATTGAAGTTCCTTCCTCAGTACATTAGGTGAGGGGTTATCAGCTACAGTGAGGTGAGCCTTGATTACTTGGTTAAGTGTGTGTTTGCCCTCTGTCTCCACTGTAATGTCACGGTATCTCCCTTTCCATACTCTCTTCTTCGGCGGTGAGTCAGCAAGTCCAGCCCACACTCAAGATGGGGCGGGATTAAGCTCCACCTCTTGGAATGGAGAGTATCTGTAGGTATTATTTGGAATTCTTCTGTAAAGAAGGTTGGTCTCCCACCCTTGTTTGTTCATGCAGTCATTTAGTGATATCCGGGTAGACTCCGGTGCATCTGTGCTATGGGTTATAATCCACAGTTACGTTGTTCGTTTTGTTGATCAAATTGTTTCAGCTTTGGCCATCCAGAGCTCTTTCAGGTTGGCTGCAATTATTTCTTTGACATGCCCACAAACTTTTGGATTTTGAGTTCTTTATGGTATTTGGAAGCTCCCCTTGTATTTTTAGCCATGTTTAGCCATGACACAGTGTTTACTGATGGCAAGTTTCGTATTTACTTTTATATGCATTTAGTTAGGAATAAAAACATAGTATCTTATTTTTATTACATTTCATTGGAATTGAAGATCTCTTTGGATTTTGGCCTCCATTGAACCATTTGCTAATCCTAATCCACGCATTTCCATGCTGTCTGTAGTTTTGATAAACCTTCCTCATTTGTGTATCTTTATGAAAACCTTTGATGCGTTTGGTTCTTGGGATTTTCTCCTGTTCCTGGTACCGTCCTGTTACTTTGCTCTTTTTGAGACTGCTAGGATTTGGAAAATTAGTTTAGCTTAACGCTTTCACATGAGTTTGGATGGTGGAGGCTGTGATGGTATTATACAAACGGAAAGTTGCAGATAGTCAAAAATCGTTAAATATCAAACTTAGTAGCAATAGGTTAACATTTGTAGCTAATACAGGTTACAGTGGGTTATGGGCAGCAGTTCATATGCAGTGTGTGCAGATTCTTGTATCTGTACTTTCTAAATCAGAGAAAGTTCTCTTGTGTTTTTGTTATTGGTATGGATTAATACTTAACGGATATTTGTATTTCCATGAATTTCTGGGAAAATGTCTTCTAAGAATGTAAAGGTTCCCTGAACTTTTGACTTGGCTCCAGTACATCACTAGAAAACTCCAAAATCTATACGTTGAAGGCAATGACAAGTTTTTGTCTCCGTAACTTTCTATCCATACCACACAGTTTTGAGCTTGCTTTATAGTACAGTTGTGTATTGCATGATGTTTTTTAGTAACAAAGTGCTTTCGTTTCATCATATTTTTTATGTGTCAAAGATAAAGTTCTTCAGAGTGGGTTCAGATTTGAGGTTAGGCAGTAATTGATAAGCTGGCCAGCAGGACTTTCTCGATGTGGTGGAGGCACATTTTAAATTAGAGAGGAGAGTCCCACAGAAGAGGCCTGAAGTGTTGTTACTTTTCTTTAGTGTTTAGAGGTTGTCTTTTCTGGATGCAGGTGCAGAATGAGCACATGTTGTTGGTGTACACCAGGTGGCATTTCCACCGTTGACTTCCTGCAGCGCTATGCGTCCAGGACCCACTCTGGCGAGTTTCAAACAGCTGATGAAGACCTCTGCTACTGCTTAGAGTGTGTGGCCGAATACCACAGAGCAAGGGACGATTTACCATTCCTGCATGAGGTAATTTACATCCGATGGACAGTACTTTTCAGAGCTTGGTAACAACGAAGAGGAGAAGCCTCAACTCTTTTGGAAACATTCAGGAGCCAGGATTGACGGATGGAATTGAATGGAAACCTAAAGCAGAATTTTAGGACCCTTCACTTTTAGTCATTGTGATATAAAACACCCTTAAGAAATGACGTATGGGTTTTTTTCAGTTTATGTTTTTAAGTCTGTATATTCGGTAGTGTTACTTTCATGTATCTGAATGGCTTGGGTTATTTTATTGGTTGATTCCTTTTTCCTTTTTCTTTTTTCATTTTTTAATGGGTAAATGGTATAAACTCTTAGGGTATGTTTGCTGGTCATAGTAACCAAAGTGAAACGTATAATTTAAAACATGTGGCTTTGATTATTTGGTTTATTACATGAAAAACACAGCCAGATTGTAGAGTTATGTATGGATATATAGAAAGGAGGAGAGGCTGATTACTTACAAATCTGTTGAGGAAACCTTTGCATTTATAGAGTTTCCTAGTTATGAACCTAACCAGTGTCTTTACGCTAAAGCTAATGTTTTAAGGTGGGTACCTGTGGCTGGGCCATGGAAGTGAAGTAGAGAAGGCCTAATCATGCCTTTGACAGAGACGCTTCTACTTCTCATCCCCCCACCTCTTTGGGGGGGGTGGGCGTGGAACCCAGCTTAGGGCTTAAAGTCACAACCCTGAGAACAAGAGCTGGAGGCTTAACCAGCTGAGCCGTCCAGGCTCCATATCATTCCCTTTTGATAAGGGATGTTGAAATATTTATGGCAAAACTCAGTGTTTACACATCTCATGTTGTATGTACTCATATCTTAAAAGTGGCCTTGTTTAATGACTGTTTTCTTCAAATCTAATGTGATATTTACTATTTCTTTAAACTTCTGTATTTTTTTTTTAAATTTTATTTATTTGACACAGAGAGAGAGAGATCACAAGTAGGCAGAGAGGCAGGCAGAGAGAGAGGGGGAAGAAGGCTCCCCGCTGAGCAGAGAGCCTGATGCGGGGCTTGATCCCAGGACCCTGAGAGCATGACCTGAGCTAAAGGCAGAGGCTCAACCCACTGAGCCACCCAGGCATCCATAAACTTCTGTATTTTTATACTTAGAGAGCTTTCTAAAAACATCATGACATCCAGTATTCTGTTGATAATAAGGTATAAAGCACACTGCCCATTTTCCTTTTTCTGTAGGTTTTATGGGAATTAGAAACCTTACGTCTCATAAATCATTTTGAAAAATCCATGAAGGCAGAAATTGGAGACGATGATGAATTGTATATAGTAGACAACAATGGAGAGGCACAGCTGTTTGACTTTACTGGCCAAGACTTTGAAAATAAGCTTCGAGTTCCTCTTCTTGAAATACTGAAATATCCTTATCTGCTTTTACATGAGCGTGTTAGTGAGTATCATGAGTGTTCTACAAGTTTTATCAGTCTTTTTTAAGAATTGTAAAGGCTTAGTTTTATCGGTATTGAAAATCTGTTTGTTAAACACATAATTAGGATACTTCATACTTTTCCCCAACAGTTTAGTACGCAAGTTTCCAAAGATAGAGAAAAGCGAATGATACGGTGAACGCGTATGTACATCGGGCAGTTTCTACAGTTGCTAAAGTCTTGCAGTATTTGCTTTATCACACATTTACTCATCTGTCCTTAAGTTAATTTTCATTCCTGTAATTTGTCTGTAGCAGAGTTTCTCAGTGTTGGCATAGCGACATTTTGGACTGGGTGCTTCGTCATTGTGGGGCTGTGCTGCCCGCTGTAGGATCTTTAGCAGTATCCCTGGCCTCCATCCACTGGATGCCAGTAGCGCTCCGCTCTTCCCGCTGCCCCTGTTGTGATGACAGCCGGACTGGTGCCACATACTGCCAGATGACCCTGGAGCGCTGAGGGCCAAACTATCCGTGGTTGGGAACTACTGGTCTCTAGTAATTTTCACTAATTACTACTGTGTGCCATATTATGGCTGCCTAGATTTGGGTCATTTATATTTGCATTTCTTAATATGAATCTCATAAAAATGAAGACATTTTTGTGATCTAGCAAAAAGCCATACCTTCCCCCCACACACCAAAAAAACAATAACTTTAAGCTACCTAGTATCTAGTCCATATTCAGATTTTCCCAGTAGTTGCAAAATGAGGTTTTTGGCTGGTTTGTTTAAATAAGAATCCATTCAGGGACCATATATTGCCTTAGTTCATATTTTGTACATCTCTTTGAATGCAAAACAGTCGACCTGTACACGTACACAAATTTATTTATTTATAACCTTGACTTATTGAGACCGTATAGTTACCCTGTAATGTATGTATAATGCACTTTCTGGATTTTTTAGATTGTTTCCTTGTGATGTTGTTTAACTTCTTTATGCTCTGTATTTTCAGCACACTGAAAAGTAGATCTAAAGATTTGTTTACATACATCAATTCTTTCTAAATAAGTTCTAAATAATTTGGTTTTAAAATTCTAACAAGTCTGTTTTCAAGCATTTATTAATGGATACTCTGTTCAAGAAAAGTACATAAATGTTGATTTTTCACCAAACACACCTGTGTAGCCAGCACCCAGATACAGAAACAAGCCATCAATACCCAAGTGCTTCCTTCATGCTTTTCCTGTTATCATCACTGTTTCCCAAAGCTAGTCTCCATCACTAACAATATTGTTTGAAGTTTGAGAAAGTAGAGTTGATTCATTAGGTGGGGTAGATTAGTAGGAGTCTATTGAGGACACTTCTGAAAGGGTACTGTAGAGATTTCCGTAAAGCAGCAGGAATCAGAACAGTGCAAGCATGGCTCGACTTGCGGAACAGCATCGAGTCCGGAAATGAACTAACCATGTTTGGGAAGCTTGTTTGATGATGGTAACTTTTCAAACTAGTGAAGAAAGTGGATTATTCAATAAATCAGAGTAGGACAAAATTGTCATTTGGGGGGAAAGCTCACTTTATCACTAGTGCTAAACAAAGTCCATGTGGACCAAAATGTAGAATCCTAACGGAACTGGACTTATATCCATACTTCTAAGAAGATACCCTGTGGATATAATTACTCCAGGTGTAAGAAAAGAAGTGTGTATCAGTAAAGTTAGAGTAGCTTATAGGAACACATGATGATCAGTCACACTGGGTTAGGCTTTTAGATCGGTAAATACTTTTATGTGATCAGCATTTTTAATGCCTCATTTAAAAAAAAAAAGGAACAACTTTACTCAGAGAACAAGCAAAAGAGCCAGATTTCGGAACTCTTGATAAGCTAAGATCTAGGTCTTTATATTTACTGTGTTCCTTCTTCTGTTTAGATGAATTATGCGTTGAAGCACTTTGTCGGATGGAACAAGCTAATTGCTCCTTTCAGGTTTTTGACAAGCATCCGGGCATCTATTTGTTTCTGGTCCATCCCAACGAAATGGTGCGTACGACTGCTGGCGGCGAGACGACGTGCTTTTGCGCATACAAACAGCTGTAATAGAGGGTTTGCGTATATATTTTGTTTGAAATATTAACTGTTAAAAATGTATAATCACCCCCCTCAAAAGGTAAATGTTTCTGTGGAGCAGCAATGGAGCAGAAACACTGAGCAATAGATGGTGGAAACCCGGAGGCCTGGGTGGCTTTAGGTAGCTGGAGGTAGTTTGTCAGGATAACAGGAATTCAAGTGTACTCCAGGCGAGGCAGAGGACCGGCGTCAAGGCCTGTGCTCAACAGAAAGCTGAGACTCCCCTGCCTGTGAAAGGAAATGGACAGAAAGTATAGTAAGGTGCCCTCTGGGCCTGGTCTTTCTTACACCTGCATAGCAGTAGAGGAAGCAGGTCCAGCCAAGCCCCCAGGACCTGGGCGAAGCCCTCAAAGGCTTTGTGACCGAGTCTGCAATGTCCCTTAAGTGACCAGTGGTTGAGAGTCTTGTGCTGCTGGTGTGAGACTGTCGAATGAAATCCTTAACAAAGAAGAATTCAGAAGATGTTGTCAGGAATATATGAAGTTGATTGAATACTGTGATAAAGGTTATTATTTAAAGAAAAACTAAGTTCAAGGAAAGTGAAAACTTGGACTAGGTGGTATCAGTGTGATGAGGTTGGCAGGCAAGGAGACAAAAGAGGGGAGAGCGTGCATGCTAGGTTCTCATCTGGTTAAGGGCAGAGCTAGGTAGTGAATTATCTTAAATAATGAATTTATATAGAAAATGCTTTAAAAGAAATAGAAAAAGTTCATACATACAAACAGGTTTAAAAATATCAGTATTTAATAATATAAGTGGGCTGAATTTGTCAGTTAAAAGACAAAGATTGGATAACAAAGTCCATGTAGCTCCTAAGACAAACACTTAAAACATAGGGTGCAAGGACGCCTGGGTGGCTCAGTGGGTTAAGCCTCTGCCTTCGGCTCAGGTCATGATCCCAGGGTCCTGGGATTAAGCCCCGCATTGGGCTCTCTGCTCAGCGGGGAGCCTGCTTCCCCCTTTCTCTCTGCCTGCTTCTCTGCCTACTTGTGATCTCTGTCAAATAAATAAATAAAATCTTTTTTAAAAAATTGAATTAACACATGAAAGAACTTAAATAAGTAAAGAAAGACCCCGTGTTTGTAAATAAGAAAACTTAGATCTGTCTTTTTGCTCCAGATTGATCTATAGATTCAGAGTGTTTTTAAATAAATTCCAGCAGGGTTTTCAATGTAACAGGTTAAGATGTTTCTAAAATACATATATGGAAGAGGAAGGATCCAAAGTTGCCAGGACGTTTCTGAGAATGAGGGAGACCTACTACAAAGCTCTGATAGTTAAGACAATGTGATATTGATGTGCAGACAGACACTTTGGTGGCCGGTGGAATAGAATGGAGACTCAGACAGAGTCATTCATATTTAAATCTTTGGTATTTGTTAGAGATGATGTGTCAGATCAATGGGGCAAAGAAGGACTGAAATGGAAATGATACAAAGGTATCTCTATGGAGAAAATCATATTTTTAAATCCTATCCTTAAAACATCAGGTATTTAAAAACTCTAGATCAGATGTCAAAAATAAAATGGCCAGACTCTTGGCAGAAAATAAAGGTATAACTGAGATTTTAAGGAAAGGAAAGCTTGCCTTTTTTTTTTTTTTTCTGGAAAGGAAAGCTTTCGTAAAAAGAAAGCATTGGGCTTTGGTTACAAAGAAAGGCTGATAAACGTGACTATATCAAAGTGAACTTTTGTTTATCAAAAGACATCTTGAAGTGAAAAGACAAGTTACAAGTTGGGAGAAACTATAGGCAACACTGACAAAACCCCAGAAGAAAAATGGAAGAAGACCTGAACAGGCATTTCCCGGAAGAGGAATTTCTGTGGCTAATAGACCTATGAAGGACAGTTTGACATTAACGACAAGGAAGTAGTAAGACCGCAGTGAGAGTTCTGCAGCGCGCACTAGTCTGGGGCTGCGGGTATTAGGATGTGGATCTGCAGGACCTTGTTGCTGGTGAAGGTGCAAATTGGGGCAACACCTCGGAGATTAGTTCGGCTTCATCTGCATTTGCACATTCTTTTGTCCTGTGATCTGGCAGTTTCCTACCTGAGTGTCTATGTGAGAGACAGACTCTTGAACATTTCTAACAGGCGGCACGCGGAAGAAATTCCATAGCACACTCCTCAGAGTTCACCAAAACCTGCAAGCAACCTTCGGTGAATAAATTGTGAAGGGTCTTCACATAGGAATATCACGCAGCAATTCAGTCGACTAAAACAAAATGGATGAATTCTGGTAATAGAACATTGTAAGTGGAATAACTTTCCATCTTTCCAAAGATGATGTATAGGAGGAAACCCTTTTTATTTATTTATTTATTAAAAAAGATTTTACTTGTTTATTTGACAGACAGAGATCACAAGTAGGCAGAGAGGCAGGTGGGGTGTGGGGAGGAGAAGCAGGCTCCCCGCTGAGCAGAGAGCCAGATGCGGGGCCAGATCCCAGGACCCTGGACCATGACCTGAACCGAAGGCAGAGGCTTAACCCACTGAGCCACCCAGGTGCTCCGGAAGAAACCCTTTTTAAAAAGTTAAAAACAAAACGGATGTTTGCAGGTAGGTACCATAACTGTATTAAAAAATAAGCAAGGGGATGAAGAACGTGGTATTGGAGATGATGGTGACCTCAGGTTGGAAGGCGCAGGAAGAATAGGGGGCGTGGAGGGCCCCATATAGTTAGATGCGTGTTAGAGTGAAGGGAGCTTAGTTTCTGTGTTGGATGAGGAGTTTATGGATACATGTTGCATTAATAATAAAAATTAAAAATGGGTTATGCATGGACCAAAGATGAAAGTTTGTTGTGAATGAAAGGTTATAGTCTTAATTCTGAGGTCTTACTCCCTAACCCTCATCCAAAAAAGGTGTTCAAAGGAATGTTCAAATTTAGACGAAATTTGGGTTTAACAGACGTATATTAAGGCATTGGGATAGGGAGTTAGAGGCTCTACCATAAAACAGACTTTTGATGGGCCATCTCTCAAGTCAAAAAGGTAGTAGAAAATAATCCACAGGTGACAGAAGTGCGTCTGTTTCTGAAATCTGGATGAGGAAAAAAGGTTTCCCTGAAAACTGTAACCAAAGCCCTCTCTTCATAAGAGAAGTTCCTGTTTGCCTGCTTGCTCAACGCTTGCAGAAACCATTGCAGATGTTTCCAGAGGGACACATCATCAACTGAGTCCTTGCCAGATTCCCACAGACACATCCCAACTGAAGATGGCAAAATTTTAAAACAGCAAAACCACTGTGTATGAGTAGAAATAAAAACAAGAAAGGGGACCCAAAGAACTCTTTACTAGAATGATCAGACACAGAATATAAAGTGCTTCAATAAAAGAGACTTGAAAACTCACGGTCCAAAGACCGGGAATAGTTTTTAAAGATTTGATTAAAATATGTAGAAATGAAACACACAAAATTAAACATTTTAGATGGATCGAATGGCTAGTTAGGTGTGGCTGAAGAGTTAATGAATTTAGAAGACAAGCAGGCTACTTAGAAAGCAGACAGACGGGGATGGAGAGGGAAAGCTGGAGGCAGGTATAGTGGGAAGATGTAATCTCCGTTTGCCCTGTGCTGGCGAAGGAAAGAATAAGAACGAAGAGATGATGGTGCGTTGCTTCTTAGAGTCCATGAAAAACACAGAAGCATTCTCCAGATTCTGAGGTGGAAAAATGAAAGAAAAAGCCACACCAACGCACACTGTAATAATACCACAGGACACTACAGACAGAGGTTTTATTTTTATTTATTTTTTTTAAAAGATTTTATTTATTCATTTGACAGAGATCCCAAGTAGGCAGAGAGGCAGGCAGAGAGGGAGGAGGAAGCAGGCTCCCTGCTGAGCGGAAAGCCCGATGCGGGACTCGATCCCAGGACTCTGGGATCATGACCTGAGCCGAAGGCAGAGGCTTTAACCCACTGAGCCACCCAGGTGCCTCGGATAAAGGTTTTAAAGGAGCCGGAGAAAAGACTCCCTGCGGGAGAGCTGCAGTTAGCTGCTTGGAGACAGGAATAAAACCAGAACAGTGGGACGGTATCTTCCTTGTGCTGAAGAGTGGTAGCTGTCTGTCTAGAAAGGTGCCCAAGAGAGAAGGCCAAACAAGACCTTTCAAACAGCGGGGGTCCTTTACCGCCTGCAGTCTCTGTGCAAAGTCGGCTTGTGCCTTTTCGCATCGTTCGGACAGTCCCTAGTGTTACATGACACACTGCCTTCTCGGATAAAGGCTCTTTGTGACCATAAATGTTCAGGTCTGCTGTGTTTTGGGTGCAGGGTTGCATGGTTTCCAGATGTTAACTCGTTAAAACCTTACAGCCCACGTTTCTTAGATGAGGAAACGGAGTCAGACTTGTCCACAGTCGTCTGACTAGTGTGTGGTGACCAGGGTGTATAGGTATGCACAGAGCCCCTAGGTTTGGTTTGGTTTTTTAACTGTTTGGAAAGTCCCACTTTCAGAAAAATCTCAAGAATAAAAATAGTAGGAGATACCTGTATCACCTTAAGCCATATTCATGAATTGTTAAGTGTCCCAGTATCTGGACCAGGATCAGCTCTTACACTTAGTACGTTCCTTGAATCTCCCTTCATCTGGATTGCTGTTCCCCCAGCCTTTGTCTTTCATGACATTTCTGAAGTGTGCTGTCATCCCTGCCTCCGTCCCTTTTAAAAAAATAGAATGCTCTTCATTTTGGGTCTGTCTGCTGTTTGCTTATTGTTCGAGTCAGGCTGTGTATTCCCAGCTGGGGTGCTCCATAAAAGTGACGTGATGTCCTTCTCAAAGTGTCCTGTACAGATGCAAGCCATAACATTTGCCCTTCGTGGTTATGATAGTTTTGATCATCTAGTCACGGTGTTGTCCAGTTTCTTCACTTTATAATTTCTGTTTCTTAGATACTGGAGATCACAGAAATGCATCTCATCCATAAAATACTTCAGTATCTCTTTAAAGACGAGGACTTTTTAAAAAATCACAACACCTAAAATAATTCCTTAATATATGTATTTTTTTTAATGAAAAATTTTTATTATTTGAGAGAGAGCGCACAAGCAGGGGGAGCTGCAGAGGGCGATGGAGAAATGGGCTCCCTGCAGGGAGCCTGATACGGGGCTTGATCTCTTAAAACTGACTGAAGCACCCAGGCACCCTTCTATATTTCTGATCGTTGTTTAAATTAATCAAAATGATTATCTCAGAAATGCTTTTTTAGGGTTAGTTTGTTCAAATCAGGATAAAATAAGGTCCAACCATTGCATATATTAATATCTCAGGTCTTTAAAAATCTATAGAGAATCCTATTTTCTTAATTAGGTTCTTGCTGCATGTAGACAATTATCTGTTGAATGAAGTAGTGAACATGTTATGCCCTTAGGTTCGGCGTTGGGCTATCCTGACCGCAAGAAATTTGGGAAAAGTGGACAGAGATGATTATTATGACTTGCAGGAGGTTTTGACTTGCCTTTTTAAAGTCATTGAGTTGGGGCTTTTGGAAAGTCCAGACATTTATACTTCTTCTATCCTCGAGAAGGGTAAACTGATTCTTCTGCCCTCACACATGTATGATACCACCAACTACAAAAACTATTGGTTAGGTAAGTATTGTTTTACACAAATATAACGCTGTTTTTCTATAATTCTTAATGAGTATCATGCAAAGGAAGTGATTTCTTGCGATCTGATCAAGGATTTCATGGCTCCCAATTTTTGTTCTGTTGTTAAAATTAACTGAGTCATTACACATCCTGTTCTTAAACACTATTTATCCTAGAAACCATCTTTGTAAGAGGTAGATGTTCAAGTACGGCAAATCTCTTATTTAAAGCAATACTGTGTATAACAAAACATTAGTATAGCAGTTGATTTTAATGAGGTTTGATATATTTTAAAAGGGATTTTCCCATCTGTAAAATATTTCCTTGTTGAAAGGGATAATAGCTTTGGTTTTCGGTTTTACACTGACCCAGAATAGTTCTACCCTACTTACTTACTCTGAGTCTTACAGTCATACGTCATATTTGGTAGGATGAGTACTCAGGATATGGTGATCTTAAAATTGAAGGCACCTTAGATTTGAGGAAATAAAAATTGTGTGGTAGTCATCTTAGAAATTGTTTTTTAACCAAGTTTGTACCATTTCCTCCTTTTACTTTCAAGTCAGTCTAAAGTTCTGTTACTTGGGAGCAGTTGGGTATGACTATCTCAGACTTAAGTGTTTGAGGAACTGGATACTGGTTTGCTTCATTTTACCACCTTGTTACTCTTTTGCCAACTGAGCCAGAGAAGGCATGAGCGCTGTGTTTTTTAATCAAGTCAAGAAAACTGCCAATGATCTTACAGGTATATGCATGTTGCTGACCATTCTGGAGGAGCAGGCCATGGACTCACTGTTGCTGGGCTCAGACAAACAGAATGATTTCATGCAGTCAATACTTCACACCATGGAGAGGCAATCAGATGGTAATAACCTTTATTTGCGAAATGCTTTTGAATACTGTGATGTACAATGTTAGTGTCGTTGCAAGAATTTGGGTGTGTGGTGTGGACAGAAGAGTGAACATTTGTCTGCTTAACTCATAGATTCAGATTGTTCAATTGGAAGGGGCCTTTAGAGTTTAAATTTCAGTACCTTAACCTTCATAAAATTGGAGACTGAAGCCCACGAAAGTTAACTTACTATTTCACGTTGAAATGCCCAGTTAGTGGTAGAATCAAGACTAGCAGATATATATATGCAGATATATATACAGATATATACATATATGTGTGTGTGTGTGTGTGTGTATATATATCTAGATATATATATTGATACATATATTAAACCTCATATATATCTATGTATATACACACACACACATCTATATATATGTATATATTTTTTTAAGATTTTATTTATTAAAAAAAAGATTTTATTTATTTGACAGAGATCACAAATAGAGAGGCAGGCAGAGAGAGAGGGAGAAGCAGGCTCCCCACCGAGCAGAGAACCTGATGCAGGGCTCAGTCTCAGAACCCTGAGATCATGACCCAAGCCAAAGGCAGAGGCTCAACCCACTGGGCCACCCAGGCGCCCCTAGCAGATAACATTTCTAATGACGTGGTAGTTAAAATTGTGGAGAAAGCCTTCCCTGTCTCAGGGTCTTCCTTTTTCCTGGTTCTTCCTTTCACTTTGGTTCTCTAGGGTTCCACTTAAACTAATTACAGTTAAATAAAGAATTCAGTTTTGCAGTCCCACAAGGTGTGTTTCCAGTGCTCAGTAGCCGCATATACCCGGTAGCTACTATATTCTAGTGTATTGCCCAGTGTGGGTCAGGGACATTTCCATCAGCACAGAAAGCACTCTTGGACAGTGCTGTTCAGATAGTCTAGAAAACAGAGTGTAAAATTTGTAGTAATATTTATTATTATACCCTCACTTTCTTGTGCTCATGGTTGTGCCAAGCTGATGAGGAAAGATCTGTACTGAATGTTTCTAATCTTTTTTTTTTTTTAAGATTTTATTTATTTATTAGATAGAGATCGCAAGTAGGCAGAGAGGCAGGCAGAGAGAGAGATGAGGAAGCAGGCTCCCTGCTGAGCAGAGAGCCCGATGCAGGGCTCGATCCTAGAACCCTGGGATCATGACCTGAGCCAAAGGCAGAGGCTTTAACCCACTGAGCCACCCAGGTGTCCCTGACTGTTTCTAATCTTGATGAAGTAGTAAATATCAAGCGTGTCAGATCCTATGAAAGTATAATGAATATCGTTTTCCCCCCACATTCACTTCTCTTTAGGCAATTCCCGTGTGGATATAAACTCATTTGTACAAGATTCTAAAAGAGATATGTAAATGTTACTCTTTGGGGGGGTGGGGAAGGAGCTCATGTTCACCACAGATGGAAGACCAGGTGGGGAGAAGGTAGCAGGTAGCACAGCCACCTTATACAGCATACTGTCCCTGGTGCACCGTCAGACCAGTGATGGCCTCAGTTCCGTCACTCCCAGGCTGACTCTGGCTCCTGCCTGACTCTGCCTGGCCACAAGCGCTCGGGACCATTCAGAGGCATCATTGGAGGGTGTGTGGTTAGTTGAGCAGGTGAAACGCATTCCTGACTCCTCTTACTATATGTGTGCTGCCGAAACGAGCACCCTGACTCCTCTTATGAACAGGTTTCATATTGCTTTGTGGTGTTCCTGGAGCCTGGAAGGGGTCGGCTTGTTCCTTGGGGGCACCAGAAGGGGCGTCTCTGTGGCTCCCCTGCACCCCTCTCTGCTGCTGGCTGGGGCGCCCACATCTGCTGAGCTTCCAGTAGTGCGTCTGAGCAGCTGTGGTAAGAAGCTGTGTCCTCCGCCCTGCCTTTGGGGGCTGGCGCATCTCATGGTACTCCTGCTGCTCATCCTGGAGCTCCCTCGACCATGGCTTCCACCACCTGACACCCAGTGCCCCTTTCCCCCGTGTTACTTTTGTGATCACATACCTTTTCTTGCTACATTATTCTTAAAGTTACTACTAATTCATATACCAGTATTTACTACATTTGTAGTTCATTCCTTTGTGCCTTTCCCATACAATTCTGTCTTCTCTGTTAATCCGGCTCCCCTAACCACCTTCAGAATGGGAGTCCTCTCTTTAAGAAGCCTTTCATAATGGTCTTCAACTGATGACTTTGTTCCTTACTTGAGAGCTTACTGGACATGAGACATTGTGTCATCTGCAGGAAAGGAAGCAAGTAGAGTTTAAGAGTCCTGAGGGAAATAAAGCAGGAAGTTCTAGGTGACCAGATAAGCTATCAGTGAGATAGAGAGGGAGCACCTGTGTCAGAAGAATGCTAGAGAAGAGTAAGGGACCAGGGAACATTTGGTGTAGTAGGAGCATCTGAGCTGGGGCTTGAGGAAGGACGATTCTGATGGGTGGTGCTAATAGTGAAGGCATTCTGGTTCTTGGGAAAAAGCCAGCAGTTTTTGCTGTAGATAAGGTATGATTATGGAAGTGTGAAAAATGAAGCTGAAAGAAACAGTAGAGTAGGATCTTAAAAGTAAGGGCATGACAGAGGGCTTTGACTTCTTGGAAGACATTAAGGAGCAGTTGAAGGCCTTTGAGTGGGGCGGTCTTTTGCCACTGTGTATCTGGTAGAGAAGAGGGAGAGGACTGGAGGCAAGAGCTTCTCAGTAATGGGAATTCCTGCCATTTGGATGAAAAGTAGGTAACAAAGCCACATTGAGATATGGATGAATGAAGGGGTGTGTATCTGCTTAGCCTAATATTAGCTAAGGGATTCAGTCCTTAACTGCAGTCCGATGGCACACACAATTCCCATCACACTAAACCAGGATTTCTTGTATCAGGCGCTTTGTTCGGTTGGAAGAATTGCTTCCGGTATGCAGACGGGGTGGGAGAGGGGAGTCTACCTCGACTATCTCAGTTTGTTCCCATTTAAAAATTTCTTAGCGGTGTATATATAGCTTGAAAATAATGCGCAATGAACTTGAAAGTTTACCAGGCTTCTGAAACCCTGTGGTTAGCAGCACTTCGTTTTAAATTTGCTGCTTTGCTCTCAGTTTTGTTGCTGCCCGGATAGAGAATGCTTCGTCCTCATCTTTTTCTGACGGTTTTGTAATCCAGCAATCACTCTGTTGCGTTTCAGATGATAGTGTGGATCCTTTCTGGCCAGCGTTACACTGTTTCATGGTGATTCTGGATCGCCTCGGATCCAAGGTTTGGGGTCAGCGTATCGATCCTATTGAGGCATTTCAGACCATTATCAACAATGTGAGCTACAATAAGGAGATCCAGAATATACGGAACAGCTCCGTGAGGTTTGTTCAGTCATATAATCTCAACGAGGAAGTCTGTTGTAACTGACTTGCAATAGGGTTTTCTCCTTTTTGTTTTTCTTCATTTCAGTAATTTCTATATATTCTTACTCTTAAAGGACCAAGTTAGAACCGGAGTCATATTCGGGTGATATGGTGACTTGCAGCCAGATTGTATACAATTATAATCCCGAAAAGACCAAAAAGGTACAAAGCATTTTGATAATTCACATGATCCCGTATTATTACCTTTGTATTGTGTAGGCGATGTTGTACATAATTAGTTGAATTACTGATCTTACGATACATAGCTGTCCGGAATCCACTGCTGCGTAAGGGGTTTCTGACTGAACAGATGTACATGGGGAAAATGGACTCTCACTACAGGGTGATACTTTGAAAAATGAAGGGCAGTTAGGAAGGGTGGAAGGGTTACAGGATGAGGGAGGTAAGTGACGTGACTGGAATCAAAACCTGCTAATGGAGAGAAGACCAGAGTGCATGGAGGGGTACTCATGAACCCTTGACCTCAACATGGAACTGTGTTTTCCATTTTGGGGGGGGCATGTGTATATATGTGAACCAAAGTGGGAAAACTAGGCGATATATATTCTTGTTTATAGCTGTGTATTAAATCTGTCATGAATTCTGTTTGCTTGTCTAACGTCTGTATTTCTTTCATTTTAGGATTCGGGGTGGAGATCAGCCATTTGCCCAGATTATTGTCCTAACATGTATGAAGAGATGGAAACATTAGCCAGTGTGCTTCAGTCCGATATTGGTCAAGACATGCGTGTTCATAACAGCACTTTTCTGTGGTTCATCCCTTTTGTTCAGTCCCTCATGGACCTTAAGGATTTGGGTGTGGCGTATATAGTGGAGGTCATTCATCATCTGCACTCCGAAGTCAAAGATGTCCTCAACCAAACAGACGCTGTGTGTGACAAAGTTACTGAATTTTTTCTTCTAATTTTGGTGTCTGTGATTGAGCTGCATAGACATAAAAAATGTCTGCATCTGCTGTGGGTTAGTTCCCAGCAATGGGTAGAAGCCGTTGTAAAATGTGCCAAGCTTCCTACCACTGCATTTGCACGGAGTTCTGAGAAGTCATCTGGAAATTGCTCCAAAGGAACAGCAATGATATCATCTCTGTCATTGCATTCAATGCCATCGAATTCTGTACAGCTGGCTTGTGTCCAGCTGATTAGAAGTCTCCTTAAAGAAGGTTATCAGCTTGGGCAGCAAACTCTATGTAAGCGATTCTGGGATAAGCTCAACTTATTTCTGCGTGGAAATTTATCGCTAGGTTGGCAGTTGACTACTCAGGAAACCCATGAATTACAAACTTGTTTAAAGCAAATTATTAAAAACATAAAAGTCAAAGTACCTCAATATAACACTTTTGTGGATCTGAGTCCTGCATGTAAAAGCTCTCCTGCATCTTACAGTAAAGAAGAAAATGAACAAATAGATAGGAAGTCTAATAAAGACCTGCCCTGTCTAGAAAGCTCCAGCCCAACATTTCCTAAAGAACCAATGAAAGCGGAGACCTATCAGATGCAAGAGAATATATTGATCAAAGCAAGTAACACTATAGAAGAGGATAATGAGCAAAATTTTATAAAAGACTGGAAACTAGAAGATCATGTCCCAGCCGAGTCATGCATAAAGAAGAGTAGTAAAAACCTTTTCACTGAAAAAGGTCAAGATCAAGTTAAAAGAAGTACAGGGAAGCAGAAGTCTGTGAAAGAGAATTGTACTTCAAGGAATGATCCAGAAAGGGGATGTGACAGAGGAATAATCATGTCAACACGTTTGTTAACCAGCTCTAGCACTGAATCTCTGGAGAAGGCATCCACATCAACTGAGAATTTCTCTTTCAAGGATGATGCTCTTGGCAAAACCTCAAAATCAAAAACTAAGGCACGTAAAGATGAAATCTGTGCTAAGTTATCACATGTAATAAAGAAGCAACACAGGAAAGGTACTTTGGTCAGTAATACTGGCAATTTAGAGGAAAACCTGGCTGTGTCTAACATTGACCGTTTCTATTCAAGGAAAGATTCAGGAGGTCAGAAAGGGGACGGCTTCATGCACAATCTCTCTTTAGATCCTAATGGCATTCTGGATGATAAAAATGGGGAACAAAAATCTCAAAACAGTTTACTGCTGAAAAAGAAGCCACTGAAGAGTGAAGAGTTAGATGTTTTCTCTTCTCATGAAAACAGCTATCAAATGCAGGAATGTCACATTGATGATAAAGATTTGGTCTCATTTACGGAAGTGACCAACACTTTTGTGAAGAAAACTTCTCCCTTCAAAGATCCTGTGACTGTTTTTGAATCAAGAGATAAGGAAAGTAGCAAGAACAGTAGTCCGTTGTCTTCTCACTTGAGAGAACAGGCTCTTGGCCTAAGTCCTCAGTCTGACACCTTAACAGATTCTCAGGTAGACAGAGACCTCCACAAGTTATCTTTACTAGCTCAGGCCAGTGTTATTAAGTTCCCATCAGATTCAACTCAAAAAAGCTCATGCCAGCTACAAAGAAGAGTGAAGGATGACAGAAGGTGTTTCCTGGCTGACCAGAATAATACTGGGGAAGCCTGCCGGGGCCAGATTATTATTATTTCAGATTCTGATGATGATGACGATGATGATGAAATTCTGGGTTTTGAGAGACCTATTAAGCAAGATAAAATAGGCATCAAGAATGAATGTCCGGAGCAGCATACTTCAATAGCTAGTGCGAATGTGGAAAAGAAGCTAATAAAGGAAGAGGAGACAAAGTCCCTCTTGCAGTTTGAGGAATCGGATTCTCAGTTTTTTGAGTTTGAAAGTCCATGTGAAGTGTTTTCTGTTTGGCAAGATCAGGAACCAGACAAGAATTCAGTTCAAGAGAATGAGAAAAATTCTTTTTCAGCTGACATAGCTGATATCACAAATGATTGGGGTTATGAGACAGATTATGTATCTGAAGAGGTTATTAAGAAAGTAGCAGAAGGCATTGAAAAACACACAGAACCGCAGAGCAGTATTTCTGTTGGGGAAATTCGTGAAATTGAAGTAAAAAAACGTAAGCGAAAACGATTTGAAAAACCTATGGCTGAAGATCGTCCAAGACCTTCACCTTCTGATAGAAATGAGGACCAGCCTGATATTCTTAATGAGAGGAGTCTGACTAAAAATGATTTTAAAAGTATGGACCTAAGGACAAGTCCCAGTTCAAGTGTTCAGAGAGACAAAGACACTACGGTTGCACTAAAGAAGTCTTCTCCAAAACTTCGTACTTATTCCAGACCCATTAGGAGAGTCCCACTTTCTAAAACTCCTAAGAAAGCGCATTCAGATACCAAGAAAGGGCAGAATAAAAGTTCAAATTACATAAGTTGTAGGACAACTCCTGCTATAGTTCCACCAAAGAAATTGCGCCAGTGCCCTGAACCAACTTCAAAGGTTGAGAAACTTGGTCTAAAGAAGGCTCCTCGTAGGGCATTTGAGTTGTCTCAGCGATCTCTAGATTATTTAGTTAAGTTACGCCGCCATGGCACAAGTGTTGGAGTGGTTGATACTAGAAAAAAGACTAAGTTAATTTCCCCTCAGACTCTCTCTGTCAAAAATAATAAGAAACTGCTGACAAGTCAAGATCTTCAGTTGCGAAGGCAGATGAGATCCAAATCACAAAAAAATAGACAAGGACTTTCGGATTATGAAAGTAAAGATACTACAAGAGCAGGGCCGTGTGCAGCACAGAATTCTGACATACTTGTCCCAGAATCAGATGGTTCAGATTACAGTTATAAAGGAGGAACTGAGGCGGTTGCTAACACCACTGGGAAACAATCAATAAAACGTGTGTCTTCAGAACCAGAACCCATGAAAACAAAATATGTCTCTCAAGTGACAGATGATACTTGCCTCTTGAGCCCCTGTGCTTCTGTTGTGTTAAATGGAAGAATACCAACAAATGAAATAAATGTCTCTGCTTCAGCCGACCCCTTAGGTGGAAGTGACCCAACAGTACATCGTTTAGAGTTGGCAACTTTGAAAGACGGAGAGCTGGACTCGAACAGTGATACAGAAGATGAGAATATATTTCTGACACAGCACAATCCTGAAGATATGGATTTGTGTTCACAGATGGAGAACGGAAATGAGAAACTCATTGAAGTAATTCGTGGCAAAGATACAGCACAGGTGGAAGAAGATTCTCTAAGTCGGCATCAGTTGGAATCTTGGAGTAGCACAAAATGTAAGTACAAAGATTGTGTTGAAACACCGAAAAACCAGGGTGAATACTGCGCAAAACACTGTGAAGCCAAAGCGGCCGATGAAGATGTATTTCGTAAACCTGGTTTGCCTCTTTCTGCATCTAAGCCTTCGAGACCTTCCACTGCTAAGATTTTTAGCTCAAGTAGTACTTCACGAATTGCTAATCTTTCCAAGTCTTTGGAAAGTACCCCTGCACTTCCACCAGCTCTAAAAAATAAGTCAAGTGGGACACAGGCTGTTTTGAAAGTCCCACAGCCAGCCTCTGTGTTGTCTCCAAAGCCGGTGGGTGAAGTGAAGAGTTTGTGCAATATTCTCCATCCTCAGACTCCAAATAATTCCAACAGGCAAGGTTACAAACTAACGTTTGGTGAAAGCAAATCCTTCTCAGCTTCCACTCCAGTCAACATTCTCTTGTCATCACAGTCCATCTCTGACACCTTTGTCAAAGAGGTTTTAAAATGGAAATATGAAATGTTTGTGAACTTTGATCAGTGCGGGCCCCCAGCAAGCCTTTGTCAGTCCATCTCAAGACCTGTGCCTATCAGATTTCAAGATTGTGGCGATTATTTTAATGTTTTTTTCCCTTTGATGATACTGAATACTTTTGAAACAGTAAGTATATTTTTACTGTATACTTGCCAAGACTTTGAAGTTGCTTCTTTTTTTATTTTGGTAGTGATTAGAGTACAGTTAAAATAACTGACCTAGTTTTGATTTAGATGGAGCTTTGAGATATGTTGAACGAACATTTATGCCAGATGCTGTTCTAGTTGCTGGTGATACAGAGGAATACTTTCTTAACCTCTGCCCTTCTGGGGCCTCCAGACACAATTCAGAGTGCTAATGAACCAAGTCCAGAGGTAGCACAGGAGTGTTTTTTGATACAGAGGTAAGGGAAGACTTCTCAAAGGAGGTGGTTTCCCTTCTACATTTATTTTTAAGTAATAACAAACCTTTACTGAAGTTTTCTTGAGGAGGTGGCATGGGGTAAATTACATTGAACAACACAAAGCAGTAAATCCTAAATTCCTTTTTATATATCTGTCTTCCCAGTTTCTCACTCATCCTAGCAATTGCTCTCTCCCTTTAATTGCCTCCCCTGTCTCAATGCGTATTCTGGTTCTTCTGTCTTCCTTACTCCCCCTGGTGAGGATTGCCAAGTAAAATACAAGATTCCCAGTTAAATTTTAATCTCAGAAAAACAGTGAATGATTCTTTCAAGTGTAAGCATCCAACTGCATTTTGAAAACAAAGCAGGTTGGGGTGAGAAGTTACATTTTTACTTTTTCAAGTTACTTTAAAAAAAAAATGAGTGTGTAACAACCTGAATTTCTTAAAATCATAAGCAAGAACACTGAGGTAAATATTTGTGTACTCATTCACCTGCAAGGTATTTGGGTGGCCCATACGTGTCAAGTTTTATTACAGGCCTCTGCCTTCTGAATGTGATCATTTCAGATTAGGAGAAGGGCCCTAGTGTATCTAGCACAAAGGGCATAGGCCATTTCTGACAGAAAGGTTCAATAAGAAATAAGTGTTTACACTGGTACCAGAAGGAATCCAGCATGGGAAGTATATTCCAGGCAAGCTGAGGGCAGATACTAAGGGGGGGATCCCGCTCAGCATGTTGAAGGAAAAGGAAATGTATCACATGAAGGGGCAAGTGTGCTACGTAAGATCATCAAGTAAATTGTGAATATTTGTTATAAAACTTGAATCAGAGCATCCTTAAAATATACTTTATATCAATTTATGCCCTCAATTTTAGCCATTGTTTTAAGATTTAGTTTAATGTATTTCAAAAGCATTAGAAACAACTAACTGACAGAGGATCTTTAATATCTCCATAATAACAAAGTGAAATACTGATGTGGTATTAGGAGAATTATTTTCTTCCCATAGAAATATTCTTAGCTTAGTGAACAGTATATGTAGTTAAATGTGCTTAGGAAAATAAATTTTATTCATTTTGAAGCTAATTTTTTTTTTAATCTTTATTCTTCCTGGAAATTCTCTGAGAAGCCATTCACAGCCCTGAAATTTAGGACAGATGTATTTTTTATTTACTCTTCCCTAAATTAAGAGCTAATCCTATATTCCTTGATAAGATTTCTTCCCTTCAGGACGTTTTTGTAGCTCTAGCCTTTTCAAAACAGAATAGGCACAAGTTCCATTTATAGATACACAAGAGTTTATTTTTTATGTTTTATTTTGTATTATTTGAGAGAGAGCACAAGCTGGTAGAAGGGGTGGTTGAGGGAGAGGGGGAAGCAGGTTTCCCACTGAGCAGGAAGCCTGACATTGGGCTTGGTCCCCAGACCCCGAGATCATGACCTGAGCTGAAAGCAGACACTTAACTGACTGAGCCACCCAGGCACTCTTTACATATACAAAGTTTGAAATAGTCAAATACTTTTGTAAAAAATGGCACGTATCCCTCATCCCCTCAGTAACCATTTTTTATTCTCAGTGGATCCTTTTGATGTCTACTTTCTACTTCCATATTTCTAAAACGTATCACTCGTGTGACATCTTAATTTTTCAGTTTTAGGCATTTTCTGTTGCTATAGGAAGTATCCTTTCTTCCAACCCTGCGTTTGCACTCATCTTTCCTGCCCCTCATCCTCATTACAGAGCTGTTTTATGATTTTTAGGTCAGTGTTTGTTGTTGTTTTGATTTTATAAAAGGTATCCTTTTCTACAGCTAAGTCATATAGTATGCTATATGTTTATGCCAGACGTAACTACTTTTCCTTTCCTTCTCAACTCTTGGTTTTTTCTGGGTTTATTATCTCATTTAACTTTCTGTATACTTAAAACTAAATTAGATTCAGACTCTCTTGGATGTTTAAATCTCTAATGGTCAGGTACACGAAGTAATCTGTAAGTTTCATATTCTTGGTTTATGGTGGTTATCCCAAAGGACTCCCCACCCTCATCCCGGGCCTTGCGTTTCCTTCTTTCCTGTGTAGGCTCTCTTTCTCTTGTGCCCCTAGTCCTCTTTCTTAGTTATGCCATCATTTTAGGAAGGTACAGCCTTCCAGCTTCCTGAGAAAAGGATGTGTGGATGGTTTTGACACCTTTCGTGTCTTAAAATGTCTTTGATTTTCTCATTTTTTCTACTTTCCATCTCACTTTTCTTTTTCTACTTTATTGGAGGCTTTCTCACCTGTTGAATTTTTTGAACATACTTTGATTTTCATGGGACTCTTGGTCTCTAAGGATTCTATTTTATAGGATCCTGTTCTTTTCATGGGCATGGCATTTCTTTATTGTCTGCAATTTGGTAATGATAGTTTTAAAGTTCGTTAAAAAGTTCTCTTTGCGTGGTTCCTGTTCCCCCTGTTGCTTTTTGCCTGTTCATTTTAGTGTATACAGACCTTTTACATTAACTCTTCAGATAGGTAATGATTTGGGGTGATCTACTCACAGTTAAGAACAGGACACTGAAAAGCAGATAGGAACATTATTCATAGTAGCCCAAAAGGGGAAATAACCCAGATATCCATTAGCTGAAGAATGGACAAAATGTATTAATGTCCATACAATGAAATGCTATTCAGTTCTAAAAAGGAATAAGCCATTATCTGCTACTTTTACATGTTCGTTGATGAACCTTGAAAAGTTATTATATATTATAATGTAATATTATATAATATATATTGTTATTGTTACTATTATGCTGATACCTGCAACTAATATTATATGTCCGGTATACTTCAATTAAAAAGAAAACATATTGGTAAGTGAAAGAAGTCAGATACAGATGGCCATATATTATAAGATTCCATTTATATGGAATGTCTAGAATAGGTAAATCCATAAAGACGGAAAGTAGATTATTGGTTACCAGGGGTTGGGTGGAGGAGGGAAAGGAGATTCCCGATAGGTATAGGGTTTATTTTGAGATGATGCAAGTGTTCTGGAATTTAAGTAATGATGATAGCTCCATGAAATAGTGAATCTACTAAAAACCACTAAAAGGGTACACTTTAAAATGGTAAATTTTATATTGTGTGAAATACATCTCAGTTTGTGAAAATACTGTAAAAAAAAAAGGCGGGGGGATGAATTTAAATAATGATGGGTTAAAAGAGATGCTTAGGAGTACCTGAAACTCCTCCTGTGCTAAAATGATCCTTTTTATTGCACTGTGCGAATTAAATGGGATCTGAAGGACACCAGAACGTGGTGGAACCCAGCGTTAATTTCATTCTTTGTGTGAAGATTGTATGATTCAGTGTAGTTACAAATCTATTTTGTTGTGTATAAGATTAAAGAGAAGCTCTGAGTGAAAGGGTAGGACAGTTAAGTGTTGGCGTTTTGTTGTGAAGCCCCATTCCCACCCTTACATGTCAACATCTGGAGTCTTTTTTCCTCTCTTTAAGTGAGGTCAGATTTCCCAAAGGATCTTCAGATATTTCTGCGGGGAGGGGGTAGGTGTGACGGGGAGCTGACCGGGGAGCTGACTGAGGGATGAGGGTCAGGGGACACAGGGAAGGGGGTCCTGGCATTCAGTGTCGAAGCATTTGGCTAATTTCCCTCTTTGTCAGTACCGGATCTCCACCATACCTGCTGCCCCCAAGGCTGAAGACTGTTTTTTACCCTCTCCACAGACAAAGTCTGCAGTGTTTTGCGGGTAGCAGGGAGGGGCTGTCTCCCTTCAGCCATCCTTCCAGATCAGAGGTCTCCATCGCATAGCTTACCGGCTGCAGCTCAGCTTCTTGGGCTTTCTGAGTCTGCTACCGTTCATCCAGCTGCTTTCCAGCTTCCAGCATTTTGAGACATGTGTCTTATGTTCTTTGTCCTAATGAACTAATCCTGTTTTTAAAAATTTCTTTGGTGTTTTGGTGGGGTATCAAGAGGGGTGAAAGGGGAAATGGCTGTGTTCAGGCTCTCATTTTTATTTGAAATTTTTTTTTTCCTTTTTTAACCATACAGCTTAAGCAACATTGTTTTAGCATTTCTTTTTTTCCCCCCCTTTTTTAGATTTTATTTATTTGACAGAGAGATCACAAGTAGGCAGAGAGGCAGAGCGGGGAAAGCAGGCTCCCCACTGAGCAGGGAGCCCGATGCTCCATCCCAGGACCCCGAGATCATGACCTGAACTGAAGGCAGAGGCTTAACCCCACTGAGCCACCCAGGCACCCCATTAGCATTTCTTATGTTTATTCAGGCCAACAGTTATTGGTGGTATTAAGATGCCTTGATTCCTTTAAATTTTATTCTAATGAGCCACAGACTCTGGCGTCAACCACAGCCCTGGACCAAGGCTCATTACCCTCATTCTGATGGAATTTGACTTCATAATGTTTGTTAATAGAATGCTGTTTGGTTGGTATCTTATTTAGGACATAAAGCATATTTAGTCACTATGTCTTACTGCAGGTGAAATGACATTATGTAAATTAACACTTGGTGCAAAAGACAGGTGAGAGCAAATTCAAGTTCTAGCAATAGGAGTCTTTTATATACTGATGTGCCTGATAGAAGATACATTTGTTTTTTAATCCTTAAATTTAATGCATAAAAGTATCAGATAAATGTTTGCCATTTTGGCAGGTTCCCCTTTTTTGGGGGGTTGTGGCAAATGCTCTTTTATCTTAATGTTT